AGACTGCGGCAGGTGTCGTGGCATTTCTGTATCCTCCTCCCTTCTGCTAGTGATGGTCTAAAATTTGGGGGCCAACAGAGGTGAGGCAAAGAACCTCACCCCCCCACTGGCACCAAGGCCAAATTTGGGGGCCAACAGAGGTAAGGCAAAGAACCTCACCCCCCCACACTGGTGCAAAGGCCAAATTTGGGGGCCAACAGAGGTGAGGCAAAGAACCTCATGCCCCCCACTGGTGCATACGCCTATCCACAAGTATGGCTGTATGCTGGACCGGTAGTCAGTGACGGGTATGATCCAATTGCAGTGGTACCAACCTAAGACAGGAGGCTGACGCCTAGAGGTCAGTACATCCGATGATGGGTAAGAACCATATGTTGTATCGGACAACCTAACAGGCACGGTCCCTAAGCCACATTGCTTGTTGTTTAATTAATCAGAAGGGGGGAGATGCTGAGAACCATAGCCAAGTAGGAATGACGCATGGCAATTTCCTTGTCAGCCTACCCAATGTTGCTTAGAGGGAGGACTCTCCATTGTGGAAATGGGCTTGCCTTGGACCCAGGTCATTTGCAGTGACATTGCATGAATGTTTGAGAATGGTGACCCTGCTCAAGGACCAGGGCAGATCCGGGTTTAGGGCGGTTCCAGGTTTAGGGTGTACCCTGCTGGGAATAGGGCGTATCCTGCTGCCTCAGGCGCCCGCTGCGCTCCTTGAGTTCCCGTTGAGTTCTCACGGGATTCAGAGAGTATTTTGGGATGCAGAGCCCAGTGGAGGTGTGGATTTTCCCCAGAAGGTGCGTGTAGAGTGCCAGTGAGAGTTTGGGAATAAAGAATTGCTGTTTGAATCTACAAGGCTGTGAGTGGCTCGTGATTTTGTGCCCAGCTAGACTGCGGCAAGGGACAAAGACCCTTCCAGACTGCCTTTCCATCACGACAGCAATATTTAGTGCTTCCTCATAGTGCAGTTACATTAAGCATAAGATGATTGGCTTATAGATGTTAAGGTGCTTATGTGTGATTGGCGGGCATGCGCTACCTGAACCCTATAACAGCTGTGTGCATTCCAAAAATAAACGAGCTTGCCTGGAGGCCGACTGAGGTTGTCACCTGCCAGCTCTCACCAGCGCCCGGTGTCTATGTGTTGGTTTGATAACGCATCTCTACCCACTGCGACCGAGGTAGCGAGTGACCATCGACCACACCAGTGACCAGGAACGCATACACTGGTGTAACTCTTTAGACTTGCTTCTCCATCAAAGAGCAGCCTTCCCCTCAACTCTAGCTTCATCTTCAAAATCATATGTGTATGTGAGTCTTTCTCTTTCTTACAAGTTTGGCTGTGCCGATCGCGGCAATATGTAATATAACTAATAGGGAGTTGGTATGCAGAAGATATGGAGAACCACATATTCTACCATTTAAACAGCCCACTTGAAAAAATTGTGAAAAAGATATGAATCACCCCTTCATTCCAATGTCCAATACACATATGAGTAGATGTTTATCATTGCTAGTGATTAGTGCCTTCCAGAGCAGCAACCTAAGTGATAGGGGACCTAAGCCAAGAACAAGAGAAGAGGTTTATGAGCTGAAAATAATTGATGGTGACTTTTAGGAAATCTTGACTACTCCAGTGAGTATGATCCATGTAAACAAATTCTGAATTATTACATTTAATATAGACTTGTTATGATTTTTTTTCTATAGACATGTGAGGACTGGAAAAACTTTATTTATGTGGACATTGAAACCACTATCAGGAACATTTTCAAAATAAGGAACACACTTGAAATACTTGAAATATTAAGTCACCTGAATTTCCCAGGCTTGACAGTGAAAGAAAAGCATATACCAAATGGTGAACAGGCAACCCAGCATGTTTCCTACTTGACCATGAAGTTGTAATCTTTCTATAATTTCATCATGTATTAACAGTCACAAAATATCATATTTTATGCATGAGAAATTTAAGACTTAGCTGTTTCTCTGAATTATCTCTTTAAAATGTTTTAAACACCCAAAGGAAATACATTCCTGATCTATTGAATGACTTTGTGTCCTCAAGAGCATACACACTAGTTTGAGAAGCCTTTATACTATACCGTGCATAAAAGCTGATCACTGAGTAGAGTTTTAGAAGTTACAAAGTACCCTGACATGAATCCTGGAAGACAAGTATCGGGAGCATGCAGGGAACTCCCACATATCTCTAAAGAGGATGACAATCCTAGGTTTCAAGTAGTCAGCATTGGTTTGCCTGACACATGATGGTGGCCCTTTATCATAATCTCCCAATTATCACATTGTACCTTAACTGCAATGAGTCCTGTGATGCCACACAGCTATTAAAAGGCAAATGAGAAGGGCCGAACCCAAGGCTTCTGGCTCCAAAGCTCTGCTCTTTCTTTTGCCAACCACCTTCTTATAGTACAGCGTGAAATGAGACCGTTTTAAAACAAAAGCAAGACAAAAGGTTGTTATTGGCTGTGATTTAGAAGACGTCAACCCCCAAATGTCTACCCTTGTCATAATTTGAGTATTAGCGATTATGTCTTTTGTCAAATAACTTCTGAATATCTGAGCAGCTCATCCCCTCAATCTAGGTTTCTGTTCATTGCCCCTTCCTAAGGTCAGCCTTCCCTAGGTATATACTACAAAAGAGCAGTAACACCACTATTTTCTATTACCTCACACCATTATCATCTCTCCATGGAACCTATTTACTTGACACTGCACGGTATTTGTGCTGTTGCTATTGGCTTAGTTTTTTAGTTTACAGTCTCTGCTGTAGTAGAAGTGACTTGAGTCTAAGGACTTTGCTGTTCATTGCTGAATGTTACTTCCCAAAATAGTATTTGGCACACAGAAGATATTCAACAAGCATTTGTTTAGACAATATTTGTTGAGTCAACTGTCTAGGCTTCCCTGTCTCAAAATTCAGTCCTGGGCGTTGCCATCTACTAGGTTCTATTGATGTATTTAGTTTGATTCGTCAAGGGCTAGTTACTTGAGCACTCATAGAGTAAATGTGATCACTGAACATTTTCTAAAGGGGTTTTCCAAGCCAAAAATAGCATAGATAAACAAACAGACAAAAACAGAACAAAACAGAAGAGAACAAATAAACTGTAGTTAAATCACTGTCATACTTGTAGGATGATTTCAAAAGAAAAAAAAAGGTTGAGAATGCTTTTCAAAATCCAAAATAGCATGCCAAATATGTAACATCAAATATAATCAAGATAGGGAACTTAGAAACTTCTGTCACCAGAGGAAATAGTTGAGTCTCCTACAGTTTCATTGAACCAGCTAAAGACTTTAAGAAAGTAAAACAGTACACTGTAGGGAAGTGGGTGTCGGGGGATTAAGTCAGTTTGTGTAGACTTCTAGAGCAAACTGATAGGTGTAGTTTATTTTTATGCTTCTGCTATTAAATTTTCAACACCATTTAACTGGTTAATAAAATATTAATTTAGGATATGGGTATATTTTTAATCTAGATGTGTCATAATACTCTGCAATTACAAAAATCACACGACACTTAACTTCATGCCAGAAGAGTTAAGAAGCAATAATTTTCCATACTACAAAGACCTGGAAGAATAGATCTATGCTAAGTATTTTTGTCTCTGCTTTGCTGATTGATTATCCAAAAACCAGAATACCTGAGTAAAAAGACCTCTACGTTAGTGTAGGGAACAGTTAGCCGTTTGTCATTTGCTAGGAAACAAGAAAAGACAAACTAGTAAGGGTTTGCTTCAGTAACTTCTCACCACTTAATACTTCCATATTCCAATTTTCCCCTTTTAACACCCATGAGCTGGTATTTTAAACAACTGAGAAGATGGTAACCTTTATTTCAGTGCATGTGAGTTTCTTCCCTTGGACCAGATTCTAAAGCCCCACATCTAAAACCAAAAAGAAAAGAAAATTCGAACATTGCTTCTTCATTGGTGTAAATTATTTTTCTCTACTCAATATTTACAATACCCCAAAATTGAGCAAAATAATATTGTGAAATCTAAGTTCCAGTTCCTTTTCCTTCCTTTGTTAAATAAACCTGAATAACTTATAGGTTGTTCTCATTTGAAGTTAGAATTCCCAAACCAAAATGTTTCAGGTGGGAAGTTCACTATTTGCAAAAGTAAGAAATCTCATCGTGAATTCAAGGGAGAAATAATATTAGTGAAAATCTGGAGAGGAAAAAAAAGTAGTACTGGAATAAAGAAGAATAAAGGATTAATAAAAATAATTAAGATTCTCAATGAACACATAGAGGATTGAGATAGAAAAGCAGTGACGGGTAAATTCTACAGTTAAGTGTCCTTGTCCTCTCCAAAACTCCTGTTAAACCTGAACCCCCCCCCCCCCAATGCAATCTTGCTGGAAGGTGGTATCTGATTGGACATGTTTAGGTCATGAGGTCTCTACCCTCATAAATGAATTAACTACTGTCACCATAAAAAGGGTTTGTGAGAATAAATTTGCTCTTTTTGTCCTTCTGTCATATGAGCAAGCAGCAAAATGTTCATCCCAATTGCCACAGCCTTGATCTTTGACTCCCCAGCCTCTAGAACTATGAGCAACAAACTTCTGTTCTTTACAAATTACCCAGTGTGTGGTATTCTCTTATAGCAATATAAAGCAGACGGATAGTAGGGAAATCTGCCTTGTCCATAATAGTGAGGGTCAGAGAGCAGTATCTGGGCTGAACTGGAAACTTAATTCTTTCATCTATTCGCACACTCCCTACTGTGTAATGCGGTGAAGATGAGATTAATGGTGCCCTTTTCCCTTTTCTTCTCATTGTATGAAAGACTAGGGAAGTGTGCATTGTAAGTGGCTAGAAGGCGCACATTTTCCCTTTGAAATTTGACTTCATTCAAAGGAATAGAGGTTCCTAAATGTTGGATATGGAAGTTCTTGGAAAGTTTCATCTATTGAGAAAAACATGTAAGTACTGCTGAGCGCTAACTTGTCGTGGTCATCACTGTGTTTACAGGAAGCTCTTCCGTTTTTTCTGACTCAAGAAACCGAAAGCTAGAAGCATTGATAGGAGGAGTCCTCTCTGTTTCCTCTCCTCTGTGGGTTCTGAGCAGTATGAGACACCCAACATTGCGCAAGTTAGTAACTTTCACCAGTGTGCTATTCCTCTGTTATCTTTGGAAATGCTGGAAACAATTTTATTTATTTATTTATTTTCAGCATTTCAGAACACAATATCCTGCTGTTCATTCTCTGAGAGCCTTGCTGATTTATTTTCCTAATGCAAACAAAAAAAGCCCTGCTTCCTGCACTACTGAAGCTCTGAAGACCTGGACCACTGTTTTGAAGAAGTTTCCAGGAAGGTGAGTCCTGCCAGTGCTTTCTGTGGAGAAGATCTGAACACTTAGCCCCAAATCACAAGATCACCAGGGGAAATCAGTCTGGGCTCTTCAGGGTGGTGGGGTGAGGGGAGTAGGGGTGGCACCAGTTATGCTGAGAACAGGGACAACTGCAGTACCTGGATTGATTCTCATACTTCACTTTGAAAGATAACAGACCTCTTTATTCTCCAACACTGAGGCCTGAATAAAGGGAAGTGCATATTGACCATTGCAGATTGTAAAGTAAATGCTGAGGAGGAATTGGCAGGAGTTCATATTGCAGAAGAGGACTTTGGTTTTCTTGGTTGGAGAGAGTATAAAAAACTTGGTGACTGTAGTGAGGGGCCTCAGGAAAAGACAAGAATGAGACATGAAAAAAAGCATAAAGTAATGTTAATTATAAAACACATCTGGAATGATGCTGTGTTGCATAACATTATCCCAATTTTAGAAAACATGAGAACAGTTGCGAAGGCATTGTAAAAATATTCAGATTCACAAACACAGTTATTCAAATACATAATCTCAATATCTTCAAAAGTAGGATTTAGTTTTCTTTAACTTCATTCTAAAACAGGTAAATAGATGTCTTCAATTAATTTTGACAAAAATTTTCCCTTAACTAATTAAACTCTGTATGTCCATGATGGTTATAAGTATTCTGTCTTGTTTTTTGCTATCTTCACTCTAATCTATGACCCTTCTTTATTCTTTCTCTCTTTTTTTAACTTATTGCTCTTTCTTAGGCTTTAAAAGACAAATACATCAGAAACTGTTACCTTCTGTTTCCCCCTTTCATTCACCATACGGATGCACTTCCTATTTCTCTTCTCTCCTACCATGTTTTTATTTTTAAGACATAGTCTACTTAATCAAGTTTGATTTCATTCTCCAAATATTTTGGCCTGAAGTAGTTAGTGTGGTTTTTTGTTTGTTTCTTTGTTTGTTTGTTTTGGTTTTGGTTTTGGTTTTGGTACCAGAGATTGAACTCAGGGACACTGAACCACCACCGAGCTACCTGCCCAGCCCTTTTATGTATTTGATTTAGAGACCGGGTCTCACTGAGTTGCTTAGCGCCTCCTTTTGGCTGAGCTGGCTTTGACTCAAGATCCTGCTGCCTCCCTAGCTGCCGGGATTACATGAGTGCACCCCACCCAGCTCCTGAACTATTTCTTAATAAAACTTTTGGAGTTGTGCGACAGATACGGGGATTTTGAACTAGTATTATAGAAACATTATTCCATTATCTTACTGTAGGCAGCTGTGCTGTTGAAAATCAGTTTCCATCTGATGCTTGACTCTTTGTAAGTTTCATTCTTTGTTTCTAGAGACTCACAGAGTACTCATTTTTTTTGTTTTAATATTCTTCATTTCACTATAATATTCATTGTGTGAATCTTCTCTTTATTCTATGTGCCTTTTCAATCTTGACGATATTCCTGTTCCCTCAGGAGGAAGCAATTATCGCTCCAGATATTTGAACATTCCAGTCAATTAGAGGTATATACAAAAAAACAGAATCCTAAACTAAAAAGACTTGTAAGGTAAGCAGAAAATTGGAATCTATACCATGTACCCAGTGTCACTAGGGAAGAGAATAAGAGGCTACCAAAGTTCAGGGGTGTGACTCTTATCCATGTGGGAACTCTGGGGCTTCCGGAAGACAAAACCTCAGTTCAGTCTTCAAGGTTGTAGTGGAAGGTAATCAGAGAAAGAAATACAGAAGTGGCTTTTCAGGCCATGAAATGGGAACTAGCAAAGTCTTAAAGCGTGAAAAGACAAGGTGTGCTGTGTATTTCAAAAGCATATGATAGAAAGGTATACAAAGAAAAAACAGAGATGAATAGATGAAGATAAATCAAGGCCTTTCAGACTATACTTAGGGAGTCAGGGATATTTTTTTTTAAAGAAAATTAAGAAACTATTAATAAATTTAAGCTGTAATATACTGTGAGTTTTAGAGAGAAAATAGACATTATGATAAAAACTAATGGAGAAAATTAGACCTGAAAGTATATAAATCAAGCAACTATTGAAATAATTCTACCAATAAATACCATGACCCAATAAATAATTCTACCAATACATATTGTGACAAAGGACACAGAATGCATGCTCCAACACCAGGACAGACGCAGTACTAATGAGAGCTGGGTAGGGAAGAGCCAAGTGGACAGGGTCAGTGCCTGAGCCTGGAAGTGGGGTGCAACAGCAGCAGACAGTCACTCCTGGGGGCGGGGGGAGGCCGCGGCCATTGGCCCAGCAGCCACTTCATTCATAACAGGTGAGCAGAGAGTCAGGAGCAAGATACACCCAGGGATGGGCCCCAGGTCCAAGAAAGAACGGCAAGGGGAGCCAGGGGCTCTGACACTGCACCCCCCAGCCTGTTTCCAGACCTCTTCACCACCCACCATTGAATCCACTCCGCTCTCATCACTCAGAGGGAAGAATTTCTTAGAAACGTGTACTGCAGCATTCCTCCCCCCACCTCCACAGCAGCACCTCTGGTAACCAAGCCCTCTTCATCATCGCACACACACCTCCGGACGGCACTTGGACAGGGGGCAGTCACTCACACACACATAAGCCATTTTTTAAAGTGTCCGTATGCACGGGTCAGACTCTATGCTGTTTCTGTCTTGTAGGCTCATCCGTAACTTGAGAGATGGTGAACGAATACAAGAAAATTGTCCTGCTGGTGGGGCTAGAGGCCATTAAGGATTATGAATTTAGATTGATTAAGTCCTTATTGGCCAAAGACTTAAAACTGACTAGAAATATGCAAGATGATTATGACAGAATTAGGATTGCTGACTTGATGGAAGAGAAGTTCCAAAGGGATGCTGGGCTGGGAAAACTGATAACACTCTGCAAAGACATTCCGGCGCTTGCAGACCTCGCGGAAACTCTTAAAACTCGGAGGTTGAAAGGTAACCAGGAGGCACCCCTGACTCCCATCCTTTCTGCCCCCACCTTCCCCAACATTGACTAGAGCCCTGACTTGCTCACAGTTGATACATCCCAAGTCAAAACCTCAGTGACCATAGCAATCATGGTTCTTGAGATGCCAACCATTTGACAACTTACAGAACTCCTTTACAACCAAGTGTATTTTGGTTAGTGGAGTATGTCTTTTGAGGGTAGAAATGAAGGAAAAAATCAGGAAAATCCATTGAGAGACTAGGGCTTCAAACACTTTAGATAAGAAAATGAACAGTAAAATTAGAAAAAAAAATGTGCATTTCAAAAATATTTAAATCACAGCTGGCGATATAACTTAGTTGGTAGAGTGCTTGTCTTGCATGCACAAAGCCCTGGGTTCAGTCCCCAGCACCATACACACCAACACAAAAATATTTAAATCAATTATTATTACTGCTCTATTAGAATACTTGCTTCATCATTAATATCTTCTCTGGCAACAAAAATAAAAGAGTGTTTAATAAAAACGTGCCTCTCTGTGATATGAAGAACTTCCCTCTCATAAAGGGTTTAAAAACCACTTGCAAGAACTCAAAGTCCAATATCACTTCTTTATCGTGTGACAAAGCAGATGATAATTTCTTCCTCTATTTTCTCCAATTTGGAGGAATCTTCTACAAAGATGACCTCTCCTTAACATCATGTAAAGTGTAGAAACTTATAAGGCAAATGTACAATAAGAGGGTTAGGAAAGGGATTGACAGAGGTCCCTGGGAGTCCCCGGGATAGGAAGGCTGTGCTCACTGCACACAGGAAGGCTAAGGAAACCGCGGAGGGACAGGCTGGGCCTGGGTGGCTTCTGCCAGGCTGAGCTGATGGGCTAGAGGTGGAGGCCCCCAGTCAGACACAAAAGCAGGAGCAGAGAGGAAACCGACTGAGACTGCGTCCACTGTCCTCACCCAGGAGCCCGGGTTTATTGTGCTGTCTTTCTTTTTTATTGATTTTATTATTTTTAAAAAATACACGACAACAGTGGAATGCATCACAATACTTACTACACATATAGAGCACAAATTTTTTGTCTCTCTCTATATAAAGTATGTTCACACCAATTTATGCCATTATACATGTATTTTTTGCATTACAATTCTTAATACATATATATACCACAACTTTTCATATCTCTGTATATAAGGTATTTTCAAGTCTTCATACATGTACTTTGTATAATGATGACCATCACATTCCACCATCCTTGCTAATCCCCTTCTCCCTCTCTTCCCCCCCACCCCTCTTCCCTATCTAGAATTTATCTAATCCTTTCATGCTCTCCCTCCCTACCCACTATGAGTCACCCTCCCCCCACCCCGCTTATATCAGAGAAAACATTCAGCATTTATTGTGCTGTCTTTTACTTCATCAGTTAAAAGCAAATCCAAAGGGGGAAGAAAATCCACAGGGAAAAAAAAATCTACAGGGAAAAAAGTGGAGCAGGATGAATCTCCTACTGCCCAGTCCAGGTCCACAACAAACACAGATTCGGAACCAGAGTCAGAGGAGGAGATACCTTCGTTGAAGGTAGGACTGCTGAGCCCCCACTGAAAAAGCGTCCACTCCTGATCTTCCACTTTTTGCCTTTTAATCTACCCTCCAGTCTCTGTATAGATCAAGAACGTAGTGAAAAACGAGCTTCTGAGCCTGCAAACTCATACCTGTTGGTCTCCCGTTTTCTTTCAGTACTGCTGTGCACTTGAACTTAGGTAATATGACCCCCTAGGGCAGAAACAGAAAATCATCACACTTTTGTAAGCTATGCACTAAAATAGCAATCAGTTTGGGACAATGGCTTGCTAAAGCCTATTGAGAGACACTGAGTCCAAATTTAGCTTTTCCAAATCCAAGTCTCCTGCTCTTCCATCACCAGAGGTGAGTACAGGGTGACATGCACAAATTACTTTTCCTCTTTCTGTGAAGCAGTCATGTATGGCCAGTGCTTACCTTCTGGCCATCTTTTCAGAGAATAGACTGTAACTCCCTGGAGTTCCCAAGAATATAAGTAATAATTAGGATCTTTTTATACAAAAGGACTTTCTTCTCTGAAAATGTTGTGCTTCGACTAACATTAAATTGCGTTACCAAAGGCTGGGACTTTGGTTCAGTGGTAGAGCATCTAATTAACATGTTTAAGGTCCTGGTTGAATTCACAGCACCAAAAAAGAAAAAATTATCTTTACCAAGACTAAAAGGGAAAAAAATCTTTTAGGAAAACGAAATCAAGAACTCTGAAGACCCTGAGAGAACACAGCTTCCCCCAGAACAGGGTCGGTTTGTGGAACCTTTAGCCACCAGCGAAGAACAAACTGCGGTCTGTCCCCAGACTCTTCATGGGCCTCCACCAACATCATCCAGCAGTCCTCCTATCAAGGTACCTCTTCCTGTTCCTAATACTTGTCTCTCCCCACACCATATTTCTGGGGTTATTATAATCATGAAAGAGCTTCTCCTAATCCCTTACTGTACCCCATTTCTTCCTACAATTAAATCACCAATTAATTTATCAAGTGCATATATTAAGATCCCCGTGCTATTTACAAGGCATATGTTGATGAAACAATTCCTGATCTCCACAGCTCATGTGTTGGTTCAGGAGAGATGGGTATGGGGAGTTTATCATCTACTAGATGATAAACTCACATTATAGTTAGCTGGGCCAGAGGGGAGAAAAGACAAACACCTATCTCATCCACTCCATCATAGTCTGCTTTTTGTTTTGTCCTTTGTTCCTGCCTTGATGTGATTCCTGTGGTTACCAGCGACCCAACATTGAGAAGTCTGTATCTTTGGTGAATGAGCAAGAAAAAATTGCTTCAGATCTTCAAGGCGGGCACGTAAGAGCACAAGTTGAGTCACGCTTTCCTACTATAGTTTCTAACTCAAGACCAAGCTGCATTTTGTCTTAGGTCACAGCCTTACCAACAAGCCACACTCTGATATTGAAGACAGAGTCCCTCTAGAAAGAGACTTTCAATTTTGACCTAGTTTTCTGCTGTATTTTTTCATTGTATTCATTCATTCATTCATTCATTGTTATGAGGAATTGAACTCAGGGTCACTTAACCACATCCCCAGATCTCTTTATTTTCCATTTGAGACAGGGTCTTGCTAAGTTGCTTCAGGCCTCGTTAGGTTGCTGAGGCTATCTTTGAGCTTGTGATCCTCCTTTCTCAGCCTCCCAAGTTGCTGGTATTACAGGCGTGCACCACCATGCCCAACCTCTGTTGCTATTATTGCTATTAGTTCCAAGAACCCATGTTTCCCCAAATCTCTCCTGAAAAAGTCATAGAAATAAAAATTAAAAAAAAAAAAAAACAGGTGGGTGGGCTGTTTGTTTTGTTTTCAGGAGTCTGCAAAACTGGTGTCAGGAACAAATTTGTGCATTCCCTTAATGGAAAGTTTTAGTTAATAAACCAAATTTATAACCACAGCTGACATTGCTCTGAAATTTCCTGCTTTATAGTCCAGGAGGGTTGTTTACCCAAACATACCCTAAAACTGTGCTTGGTCAAGTTGTTTTAAGTCATTTGGCAACGGGTAGAACCCAGGTTTATGTACATTATCTCATTTATTCTTTATAACACCATATTAAAATGGTCTTGTTAGTCTCATTGCACACATGAGAAAATGGAGATGCATAAAATCACACAGGTCACACAGGAGTCCATATTAGTGCCAGGATTTAAACGCGGCCATCTTTGAACTTTAAAACTTGAATGTTGAATGATCATAGATGGAATGCAGGGTAAGCAGATGTTAAAATGTCTCCAATTTATTTTTGAGCACTTTTGAATGTACCTTGTTGTCTTTGGGTTTGTTACTGTTGCACAAGTGTCTGGGTGCTCAGAAGCTGTTCTAAGGAGGGGTACTACAGTTGAGGGCCCTCTAAGCAGTTCTCTCACACCCATCAACAAGTGGTGGGGCTGTCTCAGTGGAAAAGCGTAGCATGAGTGAGCATGGGGTTAGATCCTCAGCACCACATAAAAATTAACAAATAAAATAAAGGCACTCTGTCCATCTACAATTACAATTTTTTTTTAAAGTCAGATTACTGAATGGTGTCAAAACTGGTCAGTACTGTGTTGTGCTGACCTAATTATGATAATGTTTAATGGACTTCCATTAGTGTAATTGAAGGTTGCAATAACATAAGATTTTAGAGAGATTTCCCATTGTTACTTGAAATTGTCTAACCATGTAGCTAAAGAAAATGCTTTGCGTAGTATGTTGAATTGCTGTGAATGCAACTAGGAACCCAGAAAGATTCTGGCTTCCTGATCCACATTATAGAGGTAGCAGGATCCTTCCTGAGGAACTGTGAATTTGAGGGACCTGACCTGTTGCAGTTATGATCAGATACCTGAAAGGATGGAGACTTTCATTTCCTAGATGCCAAAGAGCACAGGACAGGGACTGGTGCATGTAATTGAAAGACTTAGTTAACAAAGGCCCATTAGCCTGTTTGCACCCCTTCAATAACAACAACAATAACAACAACAACAAAAACAAAAACTCTAAGAGTTGTATCTAACTGAATGATTTAGACCAGTTATATAGGATCTGTAGAACCAGTATTACATCCTAGACCAGTGAAATGCCAATCCTTTGAGATTTTTACGTTTAAAAGGAGGCTTGTGGTAGGAGGAGGCACCGTGTTGGAGGTGCCTGAATGTGTGCTATTATTCCTCCTGTGACCCAGGAGAAAATATGCATGGTATAGGTTCTATATAAAATAGAAAAAAAAATGAGAATAAAAGATGCATTTCATCTGATTAAAAAAAAACATTAAACAGAAAAAAAGTAAAGAAATTTATTTTCCTTCAGGAAATGGACAACACAAACACCCAAACACATGATAACATGAAGGTACAGGAATCTCAGGGACAGCATCAACTTCCAGAACTGTCATCATTTGCCACACAAACAACTGTGAGTATGTTCCACACTTTTAAGATGGCTCCCAGAACACCATCCTGCAATTTCCAGACTCTTCAGGTGACTCTAACAGAACCATCCACCAGAATCCAAACTCTGCAGGTGGGTCCAACCATACTGTCTACCAGTCTCTAGATTCCTCTGATGACTCAAACCCCATTCAGCAGTTGATTCCTCACAGTAAAATTTCCTGTTCCTGCAAATATAAGGACAGGGATTAGCAGAAACTTTGAAGAACAGAAACTTCTAACACACTTATTTAGTTCAGTTGTTATTTTTATTGGGTATTTTTTTGAGATCCTATCCTAACTTTGAGTTCTAATTCATATAATGCCCCACTCCATCAGGATAATCTATGACTACTAGTGAGTACCTAAATCTTCCCTGTTCCATAACCAGTAAAACAAGACATAGTTTACTTCATTTTATTTTTGTGTTTTGGTTTGCATTTTTCATTTTTCCTCACTGCAACATGTAAATGGTATCTTTGGGTAAAATAGTGTGTAGAAATACAGAGCCAACAGGAATCTATTGCTATTGCTTTTCTTTCATTATTTTTTGTTGACACCAATGACATCATCTTAGAAAATTTATGAAAAAAAATAAATGTATGGACAAATATAATTAAAATTTAACTGTCTGGAAGTTTTTCTCTATCACATGCCAAGCTTAAGTGTATCGTCTTCTCTATCTTTTGTTATGTATATATAAGAAATATCATTTTCTCCCAAGTTGGGCCACATTGCATGTATTCTTATATAACCCAGACTTTAAAAATTCTTTTAGCATATTTTGAAGTGCTTGGCTTCAATCAGCCAATACAAACTTAAATAACTTTATTGTATATAAAAACTTACATGATTATTCTATGCATTATAAAAATAATTTCACATTATCTGGCTCTATGTTACTTTTGGTATTCCCTATACCTGCAATAAATGGAAGAACATGTGTCCCTCAGTCCTTCTTTTATCACCTGCAGAGAATGATATAATTTATTTCTCAAGCTCTGTACACTTTCTGTCAGATGTTTTTGTCACCATCATGAGGTGCTGGGAATGAATTTCCTGATGTAGGAAAGTATTTAACCATATTGATGAGAAGGCAGAGTGAAACCCCATCCCTCGCAGGTCATATTCTGTAGAACTTTCTAGGTCAGATCTCAGTGAGCACTGCTGATCTGTGGAGAATATCCATCTGCTGATTCCTAGAACTCCCATGGTCTCCTCCATACTTCTTCTTCCAGATCAGTAGACTCCCTGTAATTCAAAGTGCTCTGCTGAAATTCAGAAAGAGTGCAGGGCACTGTGGAGAAATGTGATCAGGGATGAGTTCCTTCATGACTAATTTCCAATGCCATGATTCCCCTCAATGCCTGGTAGCATTCAGCCTGGACCTGTTCAGACTAGGAAAGTCCTGGGGGTTCTTCCAGTGTCTGCCTTATGAACCCTTTTGCAATACATCACTGATTTCTTTAAAAAGGCTTTGTGATTTGAGTCTTTAAAAAGTCCTATTAAGATTAGTATCAGTTGAAATTACTAAATAAAACTTTTCTTTTTTTTTTTCACTGCATAAATTACACTGCGTCTGCCATTATTGTCTAAATTTTCCTCAACTCTGCCCAATTAATGTTTCCTTGAGGATAACATTGGGAATCTTCTTTACATTCCTTGAGAATCGACCCTGAACCTGAGAGGGATCTCACTAGACAGTGACTCTGGATTCCCTGTCATAACTGTGCTGTGTTTCTGCTGTGTACTTTCCAAGTAGAATCCAGGATTGACAACTATACCTACGGAAGCTTCCGAAGAACGTGGTCACCAGAAGGGCCCCAAAGAAGTAGTGGTGTTGAAAGTAACAGAACCATTTATTTATGAGTTCAAAGAAGGCGGGAAGAAGATGTTTCATGCTACAGTGGCCACTGAGAGCGAATTCTTCCGAGTGAAAGTTTTCGACTTCCACTTGAAGGAAAAATTCATCCCAAAGACAGTTATTGCCATATCCGATTATATTGGCCGCAACGGGTTCCTGGAGATATACAGTGCTTCAAGTGTGTCTCACGTGAGCGCAGACAGAAAGATGGAGATCTCGAGTAGACTGATTAAAAATGCTAATGCAACTCCTAAAATTGAGTATCTTTGCTCACAATGTACAGTAAAATATGTGAATGGGGTGTACACAGTGTATAAGGTAAGCCATAGTATTATTCCATAAAATTTCTTCAGTAAACCTAGATTTTTAAAAGCCTTAACTTGCTAACTGGAGATGGGTCAATTGACTGAGTACAGGAAATCAAGGCCTGACTGACTCACTTCCCACTTTAGAGTATGGCATAGTCAATCTCAGACCTTTTATCTTTTCAGGATATTACCAGGAAAGTTCTTCAGAAAGAGATTCACCAAGAATCTTTGGCATTTTAACAGCTATTCTGATACTTTCGTAGCCACCCTGGTCTACAGCAATATACAGTTCCTCTCAACACTTGTATCCTTAGGATTTTGCTTGAGTTTTCCCCATCTGTATCAATGACAACTTAATTGTAAATGAAGAGTTGGCCTCCCAAATCTAGATCTGGTTGTGGTGACCAAAATAAGGAACCTAAATAGATGGCTCTGCCCCAGGATGTGGTGACATCTAACAGTGATCTGATCAGCTGGACTGTATGCGCTCACTCTTTCCCATTCATTACTCTTCAATACTTTTTATTAAGAAATTGTGACACATTTCGTCTGCATTAAATCATAAGAGAAACAGAAGCTGCAGACAAGAAACATGCAATTTAATTTCTCCATTTACAAGGGACAATGAAATGCGAAGAAGCTTGGTGAATTTTTAGACTCCTCAGTCTTCCTAGACAGTCCCAACACACCATGTAAATAGTACCCTTGGCTGAGTTAACTGCTAATGTTGGAAGTGCGTCAATCTGCTATGTATGTCTTTGAGGATGGTCTTTTTTATTTTTTCTTTTTGATGGTGGGGAGTGAAACCAGGGTTACTCCACCACTGAGATACCTTCATAGTCCTATCTATCTATCCATCCATCCATCCATCCATCCATCCATCTATCCAGGGTCTCACCAAGTTGACAAGGCTGGCCTTGAACTTCTGATCCTCTGACCTCAGCCTCCAGAGCATCTGGGATCATAGGCCTGCAACACACCCAGATGAGTGTGGCTTTTTCTTTTTCCTGTGCTGTTTTCTGTACACTCTTTTTAAAGAATTGTACATGTAAAAGTGGCTGTAGAATTCATTAATAGAATAAAATACAAGCCAAAGACAGTGGGATTAGATCCTCTGGATTTAAAATTCGGCACAGAGCAAATCAACGGAGAAGATAGAAAAAGAAATGTGTATTGAAATAACCTAATATACTTAATGAGGACTTCTCATAGTCTCTCAGGCTCCTGGTGAGCCCTAAATGGCTTTTTTCCCTTCTCTTTTCTTGTGGAGGTATCAAAGAAACTTACAAAGGTAATCAGATTTCTCTCTATTAAGCTCCTTAGGAAATCCCAACTCTGCCAATTAACTGCTGCTAACTCTTCAATTAATGCAGATATGTAAAAATTAGGAAGGTAATAAAGTCTCCTAGAAAAATCTAACACATGAAGACACTAAATAAGGAAAGCTTAGAGAAGTTTGCTGGAAAATATCTGGACCTGTGGTTCAGATCTATTTACTTTGTCACAGATTAATATTTTCATTTATACCCTTTATTTTTCATAGATCTAAGAGTTCCTGATACATTTCTCAGAAAACTGAGTGTTAATTATCTTTTTCAGAAAGATATGAGGGAAGATTGCACTTATTATGGAATACGAGATGATACAGGGAACATGGAAGTGGTGGTGTATGGATGGATGACCTATGTCAACTGTGAGGAAGGAGATAAAATTAATCTCTTCTGTTTTGAATTGGCTTTCAATGAAGATAAGTGGCAGCTTAGATCTGTAAGGCACAGCTATATCAAGGTGGGTGTTCTATGGGAATGTCATTCTTCCAAATGGAAACTATTTAAAAATTTTTTTATTTTATTTTTTTTAATTATGTGAATGTATTTTGACATATCATATGCACATGGAGTATAACTTCTCATTTTCTACATGATAAGAGTTACACTGGTCGTGTGTTCATATATGAATATAGGAAAGCTATGTCCGTTTCATTCTACTGACTTTCCCATTTCTACTTGGAGTGGAACCACTGTTTGACCCAGTTATCCCAGTCCTCAGCATATACCCAAAGGGATGTAAACTCAGCATACTATAGTGACCCAGTCACATCAATATTTATGACAACTAGTTTCTTTATACTATACTCTAGGAAAACAAAATAGGTGGATTTAACACAGATTTCAACAGATGGAAAGAAAACAAAGTTCTGCCCATTAGTGCATATAAACTTTTTTTCACCATTTTTTAAAAAAAGAAGGATATTTCTAATCAGAGTGAAAAAAGTAAATTCAGAGAGACTTTCAAAATTTATTACATCCTAAGCTAAATAATCAAGATATATTGAATTGATCAAAGCAAGAAATAATTTAATACGAAATTTGAGTTCAATTAAGACAAGATACGTTTTAAATTCTGGCTCTGTGACTAAATTGACTAAAGATTTAAAACACGAGGCACTTCTCTGTCACCATCTATAAAGTGGGGAAATATTTTCTAACATAACAGGTCATCAACAAAACCCCTAAGAGATCTAGGTTACCAATGCTGCCCTGAGCAAATCAGAACACAAGTACTTCCCTTTAGAGAAATGGTAGATGACAGTGTCTGTGCTCTTTGTCACACTGATGCACACGTTCATGTGCAAGTCATGGAACACTGCAAAAGGCTGATGCTGGACAGCAAAGAAATAAAATAAAAAGGCTGACCTGTTCAAGCCACCGAAATGTACACATGACCTGTTCAAGCACATCTGCAGAGATCTCTCTGATCCTCAGGACCAACAGTCAAATATTCCTCCCACCAGTTGCACTAGGAAAGCCTTTTGTAACTTCCTCCCTCCCTTCTGCCCAATGAACTCCACTCAGCTTTGCCTTGGGGTCCACCAGCTCTTCTCTCTTCTGCTGTTTCCTGATACCACCTGAGTTCATGTGGATAAAGTGACTAGCTGATTTTCTAGTCCTAAGCAAGTGGGAAAAGGTGACGCCAACCACAGGAATGGTTACAGGAGATAAGTAGGAGTGAGAAAAGAGATGAGGTTCCTGGGGAGGAGACCCTGTGGGTGAAGAGAGAAATGTGTGGCCAACTGCATCTCAACTTCTGGCTTTCTTCTTCAAGGTAATCAAGGCCAGGAGATTCAACAGAGGACAACTCAATTGTAATTCAAATGTGGACACTTCACAAGAATCCTCCTAAAAGCCAGGATACCATTGATAACAGTGCTCATGGAGATGAGATCCAAGTACAGAAAAAAGATACATATTACAATATCATACATATGAAACCCAGCTTTTGTGCTGAGGATATAGTTTAGTGGTACAGCGGTTTCCTAGCAAACATGAGGCCCTGGGTTCAATCCCCCGCACCACAAAAATAAATGAGTAATATGTGAATAAAAACAAAAATAGCACTTAATTTTAGGAAATAGGAATTTAAGAAATTAATTAAAAGTCTTTCTACTTTCTACTTTTTTGTGTGTTCTAAATTCTATATTTTGCCATCTATAACTTCTATAATTGTAACTATAATTATAACTTCTATAATTAATAATTTTTTTCTCAATCAATGCTAGGTCTTAGTCACCATTGAATAGGCTATGACCTCCTCAAAAAGAAAAAAAGAATGTTTGGCAATGAAATTCACCCTGGGCTATAATTGCAAACCCCTTTATACTGGGAGGGTTTGCTTTAGCACAGAAGAGGAGATATCTTTGAAAATCTGTTTCCTAGAGAGGCCACAACTGGGGACTATGCAATTATGTTGATTAGCATGAACATACTAGAATGTTAAAAGAATTTCTGCCCCCCCCCATGTATTCCCTGTATCTGAAATATGTATTTCCATTCATCTACCCAAGTACCAATAGGCCTCCGTGGCTATCCCCCCACAATTCCTCCTTCTTACATTCCCTGTGTGTGAAACCATCAGGAAGCTGTCCCAGGCACTTCTGCAGTAGGCAATCACTAAAGAGAACTGATTTTCTTTAGAGTAGAATAGCAGGAAGCAGATATCTGCAAAGAAATTTTACTCTTGTATTTTTATCGATCACATATTGGTACCAGGAATTTTGTGATTGTTTTGTGTCCTTTAAGCTTCCTATAAGCCCTAAAAGGTGGATGGATAGTTTTCTCCATTTTACTCTGTGTAGTGTGTGGCAGACAAGCAACAGACAGGCGCACTCACTCTCCTAAGGACACTTGGATGGGAAAGTAGAGAGATACATTAAGAACCCAGGGAGCAGTTCCAGTGTGGGGGAGGTGTGATGGGGAAGAATCTAGAGCTGAGTTGGAAATTTGGAGAGCATGGGGACGTTTACCACAATACGTGTCGGAGACTACGGATGCCCTATTTGTCTAAAGAAAAGAGGCTTTAAAGTGTGTTTAAAGTTCTACCATGAGGTTCTGGGGCCCAAGGCCCAAGGAATAATTTTATATTGCTTTGCCATAGACTGCCTTTGTTTTGATTACTTCTTTTCTTATAGTTGACTGGGATGCTAATTAGACATTTTCTTGCCTATAACCACTCTAATAACACACACACACACACACACATACACACACATATGCACATAATGTTATATACTTATATACAGTTCTATCACTGCAGATGTGCTTACATGGTAATGTATTACATGGTATGGGTAGGTATTCCTCATCAACAGTTAGAAACTGAAGTTCAAAGAGATTTAATGAAGTGTCAAATCACTTACTTCGGCGCTAATTAAGGACAGAGATCATCCTGGGATGTCACCTGCTAAAACTTCCTCAAAATTCAAACTTGACTTATGGACAATAAGGAAAAAGATTGCTTCATACCCAACTGATATTTGTATTCTGAGTTGTCCTGATACTCTGATACTCTATGAAAACTTTCTACAATTTGCTATTCTTGAATCTGTAGATGGTGGCAATTAAGAGTAAAGACTGAGTTACAGTACCCCAGTGTCCCTGCCCTGCTTTCCGTCATGCTGATTCCCCTTTGAACTTGTAAGAACTGGGTCTCCAACAGAGATAATAAAAAAAAATCACATTCTACACAAGAGTTTGCTTCTTTGTTTTGTTTTCACTTAAATAGCTTCATCCTCTAATTCCACAATCCCACTCTAGCTTACATCCTTGTGTCATACCACATATCAGAGCTCCTTCTTGGAATTAAAATAAACTTAAGAAAAAGCCAAAATCCAGAGCTGCTGCTAGTGCATGTGGGCCAAAGAGGTCAGGACAGCTCACAGAGATGCTAATCTGCAACCATAGACATCTGACAGATTGGGTGGTTTTAAGGTATCCAAGAAACAGAGAAATGTCATTGTGAAGATCTCTGGAGTATCCCAGTATGACAATGATTGGAAAAGACACACCCAACTGCCTGCCTCCGTTTTCTCCACTGTTAAAATAGGGCTAATAACAGAATTAACATCATAGTTATGGCTGGCCTGGATATTAAGTGAAGACATTCTAGATAAAGTACTTAGCAATTAGCTACCATCTATCAAACAATTAAGAAAGCCATTGTAATTAGTTTGTAACTTGCATTTATTTAGTAATTGTCGTAGAAATCTTTTTGTATCAAAACATGTCAATCTAAATCATACTTCTAAACTATTTTTAATAACAAATTTATCATAATTTATTGAACTGTTGTTGATCCCTCCAGGTATTTTGTACAATTTCAGGGGCTGAAGGCTCAGTGGTACAGTGCTTTCCTACCGCAGGTTAGTCCCTGGATTCCATCCAAAACACACACACACACACACATACACACACATATATACACACCCACACCCACATACACACACACACAATTATTTAATGCCCATTAACCAACAGATTAGATCTATAAGTAGAATTTCTAAATCAAATAATAGTAGAATAAATGCAAATGTATAAAATGTATCAATTAATACTTCTGAAGACATTGTTTTTGGTAATTACAAATCATTGACACATTCACAAACCTGGGAATCATTAACCTTATGGATTAGGATTAGTCATTGTTTTAAAAATCCTGATCTAGTCTTTGTGAGTCTTTTAGTTTCATCTTATTTATTATTAAGCAATGGGAACTTATTTCAGAGAAATATTTATAGAAACAACCAAATGAATATTTAAAAGTCCACCATTCTATCTTCCAACTTGATGTGTATTTCCTGTTAATTATTATATAAAATGTACACAGTAACACTAACTATAATTAATGGAAATTCCTGTGAGATTTTCTAAATGCATATAATCATAAACCACCAAGATACAGAATAGTCCATTCCAACAAAAGCTAAGATCTACTTTAACTTTTCCTCCAAGTTCAAACTCCAGGCAACTTCTGACTTAGAGTTTACTTACATTTATAACTTTTCCAGAATATCTTAAAATGGAATCCAAAAGAACATAAAATTTTGAATCTGGCTTCTTTCACTTACTAAAATACATTAATATTTATCCCATGGAGTTGTGTTTGACATTGATTTATTCCTTTTTATTGCTGAATACAGTTAAATAGTGTGAATTGATACAAGTTCATTTATCCATTTCTCAGGTGAGGGTCAATGGTCTCTAAATTTTTTTGCATAATTACACATTAAACTTCCATAAATATTCACATGCAGATTTTTGTCTGAACATACATTATCATTTTATGTATGGAAAAAACTTATAGTGAAATTGCTGGGTCCTATTTTAAGTGCACGTTTAAGTTTGTAAGGAATTGTCAAACTATTCTCTAAAGTGAATATAACATTTTCTATTTCCTCCAACAATATGTGAGAGTTTCAGATCCATTTCATCCCCCCTCAGAGCTTAGCATTGTAGATGTCCATTAGCCTCTTAAAAACTCTTTTGTAAGGTGATTGTACCACTTGTCAACCCCACCAGATTTTAGGACAATTCCAGATCTGCCATATCCTTGTCAGCAGTTGCTGAGATCAATTTAAATTTTAATCATTCTAATAAGTGTACAGTGGCATCTCACTTTAATCTCTTACTCTTAATTTGTATCTCTCTAAAGATGAATTAGATTGAGCATCTTTTTATGTGTCTGCCATTCATGTATCATGTCTTGCCCGTTAAAAAATATAGCTGGTTTTTCGTCATATTGAATTTTGAGAGATCTTTATAGATTCTACATGCAAAGCTTTGAGGAACTACATGACTAACAAATATTCAACCTTAATCTATGGTTTGCCTTCCAATGTGTTTAATGATATTTTTGAATATTAATTCTTCGTTTTGATAAAGTTCACACTGTTAAAAATAGTCCTTGTGTAGATTGTGCTTTTGGTGTCAAATATTAAAAAGTCTTTGTTTAAATCAATGTCAAACAGAATTTTGTCTTGTATTCTGAAAATTTATAGTTCTAGGTTTTTATGTTTTAAGCTAATGGTCTATTTTTAGTTAATTTTATATTGAAAGTGAGGTATTGATAAGATTCATTATTTTTTAACAGGGATATCAAATTGTTCCAGTACTATTTTGGGAAAAAATATCCTCTCTCCATGGCTATGTTTTGTACTTTTGTAGGAAATTCAACGGATTGTAGGAGTGAAGGTCTACTTCATCTTCCATTGCTCTATATGCCTGTCATTCCTCCAATATCATAGTCATTTTATTATTTAAATATCTCTTTGAATACTTTTAGACGTTGTCTTAAGATTCACAATATACACCTTTAATTATAAATCCAATGTCAAATAATATTATGTTGTTCACATTATATAATGGCCTTATAATAGTGTGCTGTTAATTCTTCCTGCTCACATTTTGTGCTATTCTTGCCATATATTGTACTTTTAGATGTTCTATAAATACACCATACATTGCTAGTATTTTTGTTTGAGACCAGGAATTGGCAAATTATAAACCATTGTCCAACTCTGGCTCATTGCCTGTTTTTGAACAGCTTACACGCTAAATTTTTTTTTAATTTTAAATGTTTATAAAAGATCAAAAGGATAATACTGCATGACATAGAAAATTATATAAATTTCAAACATCAGAGTCTATAAATAAAGCTTTATTGGAAAACAGACATGCTCATTTATTTAAATATTACCTATGGCTTTGAAGTCTGTGCAGACCTAAGCAGCTGTAGCAGAGGCCATATGTCCTGCACAGCTTAATAGACTTAAAAGGTCAAGCCCGGCTTTTTGAACATCAATCTTCTTTTAGGGCACTTAAAAATAACAAGAATAAGTGAATTCTTACATTCACTACAGTTATGCCATTTGTCATTGAATTTCCATTATGTAGATCCAAGTTTCTATATTACATTCATTTTCCTAAAACTCCTAGCATTTGTTTTAATTTTCACTATAAATGATATGTTTGTTTGAAAAATCTCTTCTATTGGTATATTTTAATACTTTACAGGGATTATAATTCTTGTTTGACAGAACTTTAAAGATGTTGATCCATAATTTTTTGGCTTACCTATTTGCAGATAATAAGTCTGCTATAATTTCTACATTTGTTTGTGTTTATATGTGACATTTTTACTGATTCCCTTTAAGGTTTTTGCTTTAGCTGGATGTGGTGGCACATGTCTGTAATCCCAGGAGCTCAGGAGGATGAGGCATGAGGATCCCAAGTTTGAGACCAGTCTCAGCAACTTACGGAGGCCCTAAGCAACTTAGAAAGACCCTGTCTCAAAAAATAAAAAGGGATAGGATATGGCTCAGTGGTTAAGCACCCCTTGGTTCAATCCCTGGTACCAAAAAAAAAAAAAAAAGATTTTTACTGTATCTGCCTTTTATGAGTTCAAATATGATATATGCATGATATCTATAACTATATAATGGTTTACTGCTATTCTATGCCATTATTATTATTACTTATTCTGCTTGATGTTCTCTAAGATTCTTGGGTCTGTGCCAGTTTTGGTGTCTATTATATAGTTTTGAATGATATTCAACTTTCATCTCATTTCAAATATTGCTTATGCCTCATTTTCTTTCTGTTCTCTTTCCGGGACTCTAAATGCAAGTATCTTTACCTGTGAGATGTTATCCTATGTCATTTGGTTGTCATAATCTGTGTTTTTAATTTTCACTTTTTTTATCTTTATATTCTAATTTGAGTAATTTTTATTGATCTATATTTGGTTCATCAGTTTATTCCTTGGCCACATAAAGTCCACTGATGATCCTGCTGAGGGCATTCTGCATCTCTGTAGCTGGGTTTTTTTTTTTTTCCATTTCTAGCATTTTCATTTCATTCTTTCTCACGGTTTTCATTTTGCTTCTGATATCGTCCTTTGGATGATGTCTTCTCTCCATCGATTTTTAAATACTTTGATAGTTTCAGTGCATCTCTATTGTATCTGGAATTTCTTTTGCGATGACTTTACCATGGATGTTTAGTAATTCTAATTGAGAGAGAGGCCATGTTTGCAATTGTTGTTGGTTACACCCCACATGAGGAAAATTCTTCTAGAGCTATGCCGTGTCAGTGTCTCAATACCTTTATCAGTATCAGCTTCATGCCTTCCTTTACAACCAAACCTAAGGAAATTTCTCTTTACATGCCCTTAGTCACTCCCCTAGCAGTTAGCTCTAGTTACCTGTGATCTGATGATTTTACCTGGTGATAAATTGCACGCATATTCACTACGATGGTGAGCAATCTATTGCCTGTTCAGCCTGTCTTTGGCAGGCACTGTGTCTCTGAATCTTAGGGGTAGAATTCTCTCTAATTCTAAATGTCCTCCAGATGTTGGACCTTGAATATTCTGGACCTAGAATCTACTTCTTCCTTTCCTCCAGAAGAACAACTTCTTTCATTTCAAAAAAAGACTTCTGTGCTCTAAAGATGGCAGAGTTTGCTTTTCTTCCCAAAGAGGTATTTTTTCTCTATGGAGGGATCTAGTCAAGGCTTCATGTCTTTCCCTCAATGGCTTATCTTTCCCTCCTCCAGGGCTGTCCCTAATCTTTCTCATGACCATCCTGTGAGATACATGAAGTTCCTGCAAGTGAGTACAAATTCTTAAGATTGCAGTTCCCAGGAGTTCCATACTCTAATGCCAGTCCAACATCAACCTTGATCAACCTCAATTTATTACAGATTTTAGCCAAATTCTTCTATTTGATAGGGTATCTTGAGTCCACTCTCTGCCCGAGGTTGCAAGAATGCTTCTATCTGCTCTCTCCTTGGTAGTATCTTTCTTTAGATTTTTTAAAATTAGATGCTTGCTCTGCAACCTCAACTTTCTTGTGGATTCAGAGAACCTTGTGATGTTTCAGAATATCTGGACTTATTTTTGTTGTTGTAAAAGTGCGAATAATGCCTTTTCCAAATGTCTACATATTCAGTGGAAGCAGAGTCCTTTTTAGTAATTATGAAATTGTATTTCTCAAATCATTAGTAAAGTTGACAATCTTCATGTTTATAAGCCTTTCATATTTGTTCTTTTGAATTTGATAATTTACGTATTTAGTTTATATATACTTAACTCATATTGACTGACACAATTACATATAGTGAAAAATTCTTATTAATAATTTTATTCATTCAGCAGATATTTATTGAACAACAGCAATATCCTTGAGTATACATATATATATACATAGCAGAATCCCATCCCTTCCCCAAACCAAACCAGGACTCTAATTAATGAGAAAATAACTTTTATGATGATGATATGTTGATATTTTGGAGTTGTTTATCCAGCGGTCATCACATCTTCACTAATTTGATGTGGGAAGGAGCCTGTGAACTGGTGCCCCCAGGTAGCTCACAATCTGGTCGAAGAGTATATATCAGGGATTCTTCAATTAAATGTCGCTTAGACAAATTGAGTTCAATTGATCCTTTTTGTTTATTTATTTCTTTATTTTTTGGCCTTAACAACCTGGATGGAAAAACATTAAATAGATTGATATGCAGCTGATCAGTTACCCCTCTTCTGTTCCCAGTGACTATGTCCTCCTGACATGGACCTTTCTTGTATGATCTCCCTCCCTCCCTCCTAATACATTATTCGTTCCTGGACTGCTCTCCTGATGTGCATCTGCTCTGAGACACACAATTCTACTTAACAAGGGCATGCGTGCAGTTTTGTCAAGGCTCCAGCCCAATTCTTACAAAGACAGACAGCAATTAGCCGAGCCACGGAGAAGGGAGCAAAGTGGAGTCAGTCCAACCTCTGGTAGATGCAGGGATGGTTGGACTGACTCAGAAATCTGTCTTCAAGGTGTTTACGGTCTGTGACTCCTTCTATCTGCATTTGCCAGGATGATCTGTACAACTCTGGGCAAGCTGTCTGCATGGTGTTATCAAGGAACTCCGTGTGGACCTCTGTGAGAACCAGGGTGTCTCTTCCTTGTGAAGCCCAGGACTTTTTAATTGTGTCTGAAATGTGCATTTTCTGGGAGAGAGGTTCCTCCGTTCTGTGAGATGCAGACATGCTATGTATCATGACCTTCCTGTTCAATACCACCCATTCAGCTGACTTTCCTTAAAGTTGTTCCTACCGTAATGAAGCTGTGAACTCCAGATTTCAGCTGTAACTTTTCTCCACTTTTTGACAGTTCGAAGAAGGTAAGTCTAAGCTTATCTCCTTCCTCACAGTTTACTTGGTTCTGTTTTTTGAACACCAATACTTCCATGCTCCCTGTGTTGTCACTGATGTCAAACAGTACATGATCCTTTTTTTCTGTTTTCTGTAAAAAGAAAACCAGCACCCAGTATGATAAGCTGATTAAGGGATGCCATATTAATCAGATACCAGACATGCCAGAAGCATCTGGAAGAAAGAAATGTACGGGAAAATTTCAGCTTCACTTTCAGTTGGTTTACTCTAACCGATGTAACAAGTTCAGACATAGGAGGCAGCCATGACTCAATGGAGCATATTGCCCCTGAACCCGTTTTTCTAGTCCAAAGCCCTCTTCATTGGGGCAGGGGGCAGGCAAGGATGACTCCCAGAGGAAAAACTAATGAGTGGAAAGTTAGGGCTTCTCCAAGGCCAGTAGCCAGGACAGTAAGGGGAAAGGAAGATCCTGATATTGTAGGGGACTCATTTATGATAGCAAATCCAGGAAAGGCACGAGCCAATGAGGCAGGACTTAGAAAAGGAGTCTAATTAAGAGTAAGAAACCAAGGGCCAGAAATCATCCACAATCAAGTCCAGATGAAAAGGAAATAGGATGTTGATCAGTCACCCAAGAGACTGATAATATTTAGGTATAATTTTATGGGCTAAATGGGTATATAGTAGTGAATGGTTGGCCAGATTAAAAGCCCAAAATTGAGAGAAAGAAAGTGCTTTCCTATCTGAGGTCATTTTGGGCTTGAATTTTCCAGGACAGATTCCTCCTATCAGCTCGTCTGCAGCTCACCCAGGACAGCCGAGGTTGTGCTATGGTCCCTGGATGAGGGGCTATCGCTTCCCTCCTGTGTCTTCAGGTCCTTCCAGAAAAAGTGGCCACACAAGGCGAGTTCCCGGAGGCTCAGCACACAATCCTTTATGAGTTCTCACTTCTAATACTGCTCTGCACACTCTTCTTTCTATTTTCTTCATTTAGTCAGAATTCTTTAATCCTGCCCTAACTTATGGATCTTCCAGGTCAGTGAATCCAGTTTATTGCATTAATATAACTATTAATTAAAATACCAATGGTACATATAAAGCATGAAAATATTCCAAAGGGGTAAAAATTATTGTAGCCCTTCTCCAGAGGCAATAAGGATGAAAAGAAGTTGAAACAGGATTATTGAAAACCTCTTGAGAATGAAAATATTTGGGGGAGGGGGTTGCCTATGAGTTTTGGCACATTAACTCTGCAACTCTCTAGAACTTTGGGTTTATTTGTTTAGATTTTTACTAATAGAGAAAAAAATAGAATTGAATAATTTCTAAAGTCCATTTAAAGGTCAGATTAAAGAACACCTTATTCTTACTAATTAATATGTAAAACTATATATAGGAACTTACCTTCTGTATTACAAACAGCCCGTTCACTATTGTCCCAAGGGGCTGAGTCTGAAGCTTATTTATCTTTGGTGTTTCCCCAGCTTTCCTGATAATATGCGGTGGTACATTAATCTCTTGATCAGACTTAGCATCAACTATCAGTGAGGCACTATTCACCTCCAGAAAACCACTGTGCCAACAATATTTTGATATGATAATTGTTCTCTTTGGGGCAAATTTATCTTTTAGCTGCATATTAAAAACTTTTACAAGAAAGAATTCCTTCTCCGTGGCCACAGTAGCATGAAACATCTCTCGCTTTCTTCCATCTTGGGTCTCAAACTCGAAGGGCTTCATTGCTTTCAGCACCATGACTATTATGCGGTCTTTCTGCAACCCTTCTTCTCTGACAGATTCCTGCTGGGGCGTCACCTGCTTCTGCTTAGGCTGAAGACCATGGAAGAAAGATGTGAGCCATGAGTAAAGGGGCACTTAGTGTTAAACCTTAGGAAGCCAGCCCAAGAGAGGAGCAACCAAAGGAAGAGATAGAAGGGGGTTAGGAAGAGATTTGAACTCAGAATTATCTGGATAGGAAAGAGAATGCAAAAGAACGATTTCAAGTCCTGTGTTCAAATGGGCCAGCGGAACAAGCTTTGGAGATAGATTCCCTGAATCTGAATCCTCAGCTTTCTCATCTAAAGGGTGTGTAGAGTGCATCAGATTTATGCAGCATTGCCAAGGCAAAGGGGGTAAATCTGTCCTTGTCTTCTTCTGTTGATTGCATTAGGGCATAAGGTGCCCTTATGCTCTATCCAATATTGTCCTGAATATTCATTTTACTCTGGTATGAAGGTGAGGGAGCTCAGTGATCTGACAAGTCTCCCCAAATTCCTAGGGATAGTAATAATAAAAGTACACATTAAATTAAATGTGAATAAAGAGAGAGACCTAGAACAGAGATCTTACAAGTAAATTACAGGCTAATTAAAAAGGAGAATCAAATCTAACTTTATGAATTAACCCCTAGAAATAATGAATGGTACACTACAGTTTACATTAAAAATGTTATTGTGTTATTTTTAATTATAAAAAATTGAAATCATTTAAATGCCAAAATAAAAGAAGACTGGCACACACCATCTATTTTTGTGTAAGTACACTTCATGATGTTCACACAATAATAAATTCAACTAATGACAGATATGTCTCTCAGAACATACCCCTGTTATTAAACGGCAAAGACTGAACAGTGTTATTTATTTTTACTACAGTAAAATCTTAAGCATTTCAGAAAAGTAGTAATACTGAAAAGAATGTGATCTTTGGATAATAGGATCTTGCTGTTTATAAACTATCACATTGCATTTAAAAAAATATAAATGCCCAAAACAAGGAATTTGATTAAATAAGTATGTATAATCATATCATAGATTACTATGCAAACATTAAAAATGCTTTAGAAGAATAATATGGTAGATGGTTATAATTGATTTAACAAAGGATGAAGTCCAAAACAGAATGTACAATGTTTTTCTTATTGGCAAAATCAACAATTAAATAATACTCACACTCCACAGAAATATTTACCAATATCACATATGTTGTTTTCTAGGTGACATGATCTTAAGTAATTTTATTGTCATGTCTATGGTTTGTGTTTTTTGAAATTAACAGAGATATGAGATTCTTTGTGTCTGTTTTAGAAGCAAATGTTACTTTTAAAAAGCAATATGCTCTCCAAAGCCAAAGGAAAATGTAGGGGGAGGGGGAAGACCCATGTAAGACCAAGTGCAAATGTGTCTAAATTGGATCTCTGGTGGGACCTGGCACATGGGTCCATAAGGGGACCTGAGGGACAGTACCCACAGACTCAGTTTAGATCAGTGCAGGAAAACCTCAGCTTCCCTGAGGTCAAATACGAAATTTCTTGTCTTTGGTCTGGGTACCTTTAGTTAGGTCTTCCAGACTAAATAATTTTAATGACCAACTTCTGAAATGCACTACTTATATCTTCATATCATTTCCCTGACAACTTCAGAAGTTTCTAGGCCAAACCCAGAGGAAGTGGCTGCTCTGGGCAAAGAGAATGGAAAACATTCCATCAATTTCTATAGCTCACACATCTGTAAAATTACATGATTCCTACTTCACAGGAGACAAAACTGCACGTTTGGTAGATTTGGGGGGTTTGTTTTTGTTTTCCTTTGAGCACTTTCTTTGTCTTAAATATGCCAGAAATTGAATTTTATTTTTAAAATTTTATCTGGCTTTCACCGGTGTATAGTAACTGTTCCTAACTGTCTGTGGGCATCCTCAGCTCCTAAGTGCTCTGTGGGATGGACTGAGACATTTGTCATGAAGGTACTGAACTTGACATTGTCCCCACTCTATTTCTTTTACTTCCTCATGGGCATGAATACTGAAAGCACTCTAAAATATACTCCCTGAAAATGACTGTCTGTCTGAGTTTTCTTCTGATGGGATCCAGTCTAACAAGGGGTTCAAATGTCCAGAGCATATTAGAGATTAGAAACTCCATAAGTATTTTTGAGTCCACTTTTCTTTTTGTAACCTAGGAACAATTTTCATGTGATAGACTGTCTTTCCTTAATTGCAAGCTGTGAGATAAAGAACAGAGATCCTCGTGTAGGGAAGGACAGGGACAATGACTAGAGGGTACTCTCATAAGGATGAAGGCCACTCTGCTCACTCCATCCTACCTTCCCATGAGGAGAGACTGCTGGTGCCACCCGGTGCTGGCCGGCATCATTGCCGCTGACTGCAGAGGCCACAGAACCCACTTCAGTTAGACTTTTCCTTTTTGTCAGACTTGCTTCTTTGGTCTTTTTATTTCCCATATACTTATCATCAACTGTTAAAAAAAAATGTAAAAAAAAAGGACATATTAACCAGAAGAGGCACAAAGTTGACTGAGAAATTTAAACAGCTCAAGAACAAAATAAGAAGAATGACCCTAGCAGGAGGGGTGAACAAGAGCTTCCCAGATCCGGCTGGCCTCAAAGAAGTCCGCCTCACAGCCATCACACCCAAGGAGACTTTTGCAACCACCTGGGAGTGCAGCCAAGACTCCTTCTGGGACCACAGAACTGAGAAAAGTTCCACCAGAAGGAAAGAGGAATGGTCTCACTGTTCCCATGACACCCCTCTCCCGAGGCAGCCCAGCACCACTCAGAATTCCTCTGGACCCCTGTGGTGCTACAATGAGAAAAGAGGCGTGGTGGGCATTTGGTCCCCAGCATCCTGGGAAGTTCTGCAGGAGGCTCACTTAGGTCTTGAGGAACACTGGAGGCACTGGCAGTGATAGACCACCCGGGGGGCCCACTTAGAAAGAAAGAAGGGGGTGGGTATCACAGGGATCAGCACACAGATCTTGGAGGCCCTACGTTCTGGCCAATGGAGGCTCCAAACCAGAGAGAGGTCCCAACAGCATTGTTCTGCAGGAAACATGATCAATAGGTCTGTTGGAGTTTTGTTTTGTTTTTTGTTTCTTGTTTGGGGTACTGAGGGTTGAACCCAGGGGTGCTCTCTCTCTGAACTACATCCCCAGTCCTTTTTATTTTTTTTTAACTTTGAGATGGGGGTCTCAAAAAGTTGCCCAGGGTGGCCTGGAACTTGCGATTATCCTTCCTCCCCTCCTGAGTGGCAGGGCTTATCAGTGTGTATCAGTGTGTGCCCTCGTGCCCAGCTGCCCTGATGGTTTTCAGTTCTCTCACCAGCTTTCCCACCCAGCAATGGTCTTTCCCACAATACAGGTAAGTGCACATGCATGCACACCTGTGGAGGGAAGCTGCCCAACCTCAGACCTCAGCATAATGCTTCCCCAGGCGAAGACGCAAGCCGAATTCCACAGAAACCTCTGCAGGGGAGCATCTGGCCTTGCCAAATACAAGCGGTTGAGCAACTGACCCCACCCACTACCCCGCCTGTGTCCCTGCACATCTGCAGAGGAGAACATCTGGCCTCTCCAGTCCTAGTGGTTAAGAAGTGGTGCCACCCAGCTTTGGAGCACAATTTGAACCTTGCCTGGACCCAGGCAAGGAAGCAAGTCTGAGATCTCATATATCTTTAGAGCATGGCTTACGGCCTTCCCAGTCGGAGTAACCCCAAAGCAATCCCAACAACTTTTCCTACTTTCTCAGCCTCAGAACCCAGCCTGCGGCTCTGCCCAAATACAGATTCCAAGCAGCAAAACAGCAGAACCGACCACCTAGAAACCAAAAATCAAAAACACACAAAAAATTTTAGGATATTCAGAAATATCTGGAAATTCTACAACATGCTCCTGAATACACAACAGCATTTACTTGTTATCTCTCTGCTTTATCACCAGATCTAGAAGGATTCTTGGTGCAGGGTGAATGGATAGACAGGTGGATGGCATGCCAGCTCCTCACAGTGTCACCATCATGCAGCCTTAGGGTCTGGCTTGGGTACCCCAGGTCTAGGGTCAGATTATATTTTACTCAGGTAACTTTGGGCTCTGGTTTTAAAATGACTATATATATATATATATATATATATCAAGATGGTTCCATTCAATTATTTAAGGCACCCTCAGGAAGAAGAGGGCATGAGAAATCACTGGATGTTGTTCCTGACGGAACTTGAGCAGTTCTAGGCTGAAGTCAAAAGGTCACTTTGATTTTAAGAGAAAGAAGAATAGTCATCAGGGCTCACAGCAGGATGAGCTGTCTTCTGCTGCAGTAAGTTCTCTGTCACTACATTTCAAACAGCAGGAAGGACTGGACCCTCTGACAGGGAGATCACAGGGGGACCTCTGCCCCAGAAGTTGAACTGACCTTCCCACGGTAAGTGAGTTCCATGAAACTGGTTTCAGAGAGGTGTGTAGATGAAAGTCCCCCTTTCAAAGCAGACAGTATAGGAGAGAAAAGGGTCAGGAAGGTCGAGGGACTCATGCCCTCCTGCCCCATCACATCAGCCATCTTTCATCTCATACATAGGGACCAAAAAAATTTTGTGGAAAAACGCATCTGCCCACTACACATCTCTTACATTCCTTAATCGTCAGGTTCACATTTCCAACTATTTGATTTGCCATTTTCAACCTCTAATTTAATCTGACATGACTTTTACAGACTTTGATCATGTACTCTCTCAGCTTCCTTTTATCATGCTTAAGTAACCTCTTAGTCTTCATCTTTCTTCCCCCAAAAGCCTCTCTATCTACTAACTATTGACTCTGAGTCATTAAAGATTCCTTCAGCAAGCCAGGTGCAGTGGTGCATGCCTGTAATCCCAGCTACTCAGAAGGCTGAGGCAGGAGGATCACAAGTTTGAGGTCAGCCCCAGCAACTTAGTGAGATCTTGTTTCAAAATTAAAAAGGATTGGTAGAGTGTTCCTGGGTTCAATGCCCATTACCCCCCAACACACAATAACAACAAAAATAATAATACTAATAATCTTTCAAATATCCCCTACCTTCCAAGCAGTAGAAGCATGCAGAAGCATGCAGACCCTTGGTGTAACATTCAACAAACAAAAAACACTTGACAGAGGATGAAATTTACAAAGAAAAACACAAAACTGATCCCCAAACATAGGAGAGGTAACATGGGGCACAAATAAACCCGGCACATTTAAAGTAGGCCTAAAGACAACTCTGGATAGAATTTTGACTTATAAAGGAACTTCATTGATTTCTCACACAGCTTACGAAGCTGCCAGTCATTCCTAGATTTCTAGCCTGGGACCACTTTGGATCATTTTTAGCTAATTGAGGTAATCAAATTTTCAGGATCGTTAGAAAAGCAAACTGGAGTAAGAAGTAAAGATTGTGGTTAGAGAAATTTGGAGTTCCCTGAGCCAAAGGGAAGAATGAGGGCTCAGAGGAGGGGAGGGTTCTGTCCTTTTATTATTATTTTGACAGACTCAAAGTTGCTGAGGGTGTAACTAAGTTGCCCAGGGCGACCTCAAAATTGCAATCCTTCTCCTTCAACCTCACAAGTAAGGTGTATTGCAGGTATGTGCCACCATGCCAGGCAAGAGGAATAAATTTTTCATTGGGGTGAGATGGAGGAGATGAAAACATACTAATAGTCTATGTTTGTTCACATTCAAGAAGCAGGGCAATTGGTTTCATGGAGCAACTGTGTGCCATTACTGCCACCTAGTGGCCATATCTAAGAAATACACCTCCAAATTTCAGCAATCCAAGGAAAATAGAAGGCATGACCGCACAACCGATCCTTTCTCTAAAGTGCCTTAGATAAAAATTCATATCTGTACATTTGTATAATCGCTTAAATGGACCTCATTTAGCCTTTATAGAAATCACATATGAGAAGTATGTTATTCATACTGTACACACAAACAAATACTATATTAGAATCTTAAAACTACTACTTTTGGTGTCTTTCATTTTGGAGAGTCTTTGGATGAGATCGTCTTTGGTTGACCTTTTTTTTTTTCTTAAGTCATTTTGTCAATAAAGCCAGGATGCATCAGTTGTTCTTATGTAACAATCAGGAGCTTAAACGACAAGGAGATATTTCTTAGAGACTGATCAATAGTTCACTGAATAATATAAATCATTTGGGAAATGTATCTTGTCATTGGAGATGAAGAGGAGACAGAATCCCTGGACTAGAAGGACAGGGTCTTTCTTGAAGAAAGACAGGCAGTCTAGGACCCTGGCAGGCTGGCCCAGTGTAGAAGCAGCACGTGTGAGGAGAGGCAGAGGTGCCTGATACCCCAGTTTATGGCTTTCCAGGGCTGTAGTGTGCTCCAGTAAAGTGTGAGACCACGTGATAGAGTCTAAAGCACTACGGCCATTCATCCTGGGTGCTTGGTCACTGCAAGGCAAAGATGGGCAAAGGGAAGATGAGAAAACGGTGAGCGGCAGTCCCGAGGGCTGGAACCAGAGGTGGCAAAGTCATGCTGGGCTGCATTTATGGAATTTCTAAAAAAGACTTCTAGCAATTATCAGTAAAAGGGGTCAAATGGACATCTGAGCAAGCAAACAAATCCCAATGTGCCCCGGCGTCTTCTCCCTCTGATGCCAGAAAAGGTGAAGAACTCCGTGTACCTTTTGCCTTCTCGTCCTGAAGATTTTTTGCCACGTGCATATAATTCAGCTTCTGGAAGATACGTATGGTCTTAGTCACCGCAGGCACCACACCCGCATTTTGAATCAGCAAGTTGGCTAACTCTGTCCTGTTTGCAGTCTGCAGTTTGCTCTTGGCAATCGTGAATTCATCTGGAATAAAGAACTTGAACCTATCCAGTTCCTCATCAGTGATGTTATCGAGGCCCCTCAGTAACAGCATTTCTCTGTATTTGCTCTCCATCTCCCAACTTTGGGGTCAGCCTATAAGAAACCCCAAACACATAAAGTTACACCACCCAAAGTTGGTTTACATTCAAAATAAGCAAGGTGAATGGTTAATATCTCCTCCTATCCGGCCCCCCACCTCTTTCTTTTTCTATTTATTTATTTATTTATTGGTGGTATTAGGAATTGGACTCCCAGATTTCTACCACTGAGCTGCATCCCCAGCCCTTTTTATGTCTTATTTTGAGACAGGGTCTCACTAACTTGCTGAGATTGGCCTCAAACTTGCAATCCCTCTGCCTCATCCTCCCCAATCACTGGGGTCACAGGTGTGCTTGACCTTACTCAGAGTTAACATCTTTTTAAAGGGAGAGTAAAATGTCTACAGTACAGTAAAGGAGATTTGGGTGAAATAAAAATCATAGCTTATTATAAGCAAGATGCCCACTACTATTGAGAAAGGACATCTTCAGAGGTGGTACAATGAATCTGTAATTCTTAGAGAACAGGATTCACTCTGTAAACGGAATTTTGAATATACTGACACACAACACAGTGAATTTATTTCAAGCATACAATGTGAAAATCTTGATGTATGCATACAGTAGCTGAAATCCAATTTATTAATTTGTTCTTTCATGGATCACGCTTTTAGTGTCACGTCCAGGAATTCTTTTCCAAACAAGATCAGAAGACTTTGTCCTATATTTTCCTCTAGAAATTTTATAGTTTGGCCTTTGGGCACTTATATCTATAACCTCTTTTGAATCATTTTGTATATGGTACAAGGTCTGATTCAAAGTTCATGTTTTTCACATGGATATTAGTTTTGCCATAATTATATTCTTTCTCCACTCATTGACCTTTGTGCCTTTGTCAAAAATCCTTTGTTCAAATATGATTTGGTCCATTTTTTAAATTCTTTCCTCCGTTCCATTGACTTATTGGGTTTTATGCCAATAAAATATTGTAGTAATATGATTGTCTATGTATGTTATAAAAAATAATACAAAAAGTATTAGAAATAAGAATTAGCAATGATTCTAAATATAAGGTTAACATACACAAAAGCCTCATTTCTTTATTTCAGTAATAATCCAAAGGGAAAAACATAGAATAAAATAGTATAATTTCTAATAATAACAAACATACAAAGTACTTAGAATATGTAATAAAAATATATAATGCTTTAAAGAGCATTATAACTTTAGTGATAGACTTAAAGTACATAATTAATTACGGATATGTAAGATATTTTGAATGGAAGAATTCAATAAAATGAAGATGGTGGTTTTGCCAAATTAGTCTATAAACTCCAAGCAAAATCTCAAAAGGCTTTTCCTTGAGAACTTAACAAGATGATCCTAAAATCTACATCAAAGGATAAAGACAAAATTATACAAAATAAGTTTAAAATGTTTATTTGAAAGCACTATTCTTCCTAGCTTACCAATCCTTCACAAAAATATATATAATGAGTTTATTATGTATGTAATATATTATTATTTAATGATATGATAGTGTCACAGAGAAAAATTAACTAATAATAGAGTATGGAAACAGAAATAAAAGCATGCTATCCGATCAAAGTGACATTATACATCACAAGGAAAGGATGTCTGAACACAAAAAGTGTTCAGACACTTATATATGAGGAATTACAATATTGAATCATTATCTCACATCATATACACAATATATATTTCATGATGCTGTTGAAGAAAACACAAGACTTCTCATCACATTGAGGTAAAGGCATTTCTTAAATAAGGCTCAAAAAGAGCAAGATAAGAAAAGCCTAAAGTCAAATTTGAGTGTGTGCACATTCTAAACCTCTTTGTAGGAAAAACACACACACAGAGTAAATAAAGTGAAAATAAACTGGGAAGATACTATTTTCAATGTGTGTAACTAACAGAAGATTTGCTTTCTAAATATATGGAGAATCACAAACCAATAAGAAAAATATAAATGGTCTATCTGAAAAGTGGGCAAAATATATGAATAAGCAATTTGCTCAAATTTCTAATAAACTTTCAAAAAAAAAGATGTTTGACATTACTAGCAATTAGTAACTTCCAGAGAAGCAACATATGAGGTTCAAGAAATAAGCCTAAGAATGAAAGATGGCATGTTTATTAGTAGAAAATAATGGATCATGAATTTCAGAAGCCTGAAGACTCCATCCATAGAGACAATGTTAATAAAGTTATTATGGTTAAAATGGCCTTATTAATTTTCCAGTAGGTAAGGACTGGAGAAAACTATTCTTGCACATGTAGAGTTAATAACAAAAATATGTAGAGTTAAAAACCAAAACTATTATCAGCACCATTTCAAAATAAAGAATGCCTCTGAAATACCTGAGAAATCAATCTTCTCAAATGTCCCAGTCCTTCCTTACTGACAAAAGCAGTAAGGAAGATAACTTTGGTTAAATATTCATAATGTGATAGTCAACTCAGCATGCTCCTTACTTGTCTAGATGACATTAATCTTGCTAGAACCCTCTTATAAAATAACATAATCACATTTTAATGAGAAAATTAAGACAGCTATTTCTCTGAAGTTTTATTTTTATCGAATGAATGTAAAATTAGCATTTTACTTCAAAATATCTGTCCACTTTTTTAAAAAACGTTTTGAAGTACTTGTTGGAATACGGATATGGCTCCCAGGTTGAGTGCTTGCCTAGCGTGCACACGGCCCTGGGTTTGACCTCTAGCACCACAAAACATAAAAAAAAATAAGATATTTGTTATTATGTAAAATTTATACAGAAATCAAATGCATTCAGATCAATTTGGTGACTTTGTGGCCCCCAAAGTCCACACACTGTGATTTAAGAAGCAGATACTGCTTCATGCATAATAACTGATCACTGGATAGTGTTCTGCAATTTACCAAGTGCTTCCACGTGGAATGTGGATGGTACAGAGGAAAGAAAATATTTAGGGAGTGCCCATTTATCTCTAAAATGGGATAATTTCTACCCCTAGGTATAAGTACCCAGCATGATATGGCTGAAAAATACATTTTCATTTATTATAATCTCTCAATTATTACAGGCTAAATTAGCTTTTCAAGATGGAATGCCTTACCTGAGGCCCCACAGCTAGTGAATGGCAATAAGATGAGATGAACTCAAATTTTTGAATCCAGACCGTTTGTTCCTTCTTTTGCCAACTGCTTTTTTATCGTTCAGAGAATGTGCAATAACGCTTAAAAAATAAATAAGCTGATGTTATTGGCTGTGATTTGGAGAGCATCATAAATATCTAACCCTCTTATAATTCCAATAATAATATCATAATAACTGGCAATCATTTTCTTGGCCTAAACCACTTATCCCTTTTCACAAGATGGTGGCCAAGACCCTCCCATGGTCCTCTCCCCACAGAAACACCAATTTGAACAGCTATTCACACACCAAACTGACTTCTCATTAGCTAAAGAAGCCAGGTGAGACACCCAAGTGCCTGGTTTTAGTACAACAGGAAGAAAAGACACATTGAAGGGCACAGGAAGAAAAGAGTCACCCACATGCAGGCAGTGCCTCTAATACTATTTATGCTAGAGGTGATGTTTTTGGTAAACAGGCGAGGTTAGTGTTTGCCGAGTTCCTTTTACTTTTTTTAATCTTTCCCTTATATGCATACCAGTGTTGGATTAACAATGTTAATAATAATGATTTTGTGTTTATTTAATATTATGGAGTTGTTAACTATCAGTGAATTATTCGATCTACATCACTTCTTCCCCAGCTCCAAGTAATATGGAGAGAATGCCTCTGCCTTGTAAGGAAGAGAAGGAATTAAGACCAGGACTTCAACTTGAACCCCAGTGCCAGGCCTGCCACGGTGAGCCCGGTGCTCCAGAGCCCCAGAATTCCTGCCTCCAGCCTGGACTCTTAAAATCTGTGTAGTCAGGCCACTGAGAACCTCCACCAGACCTCCCCCAACTTAGGGCCAAGAAACCAGGAGCAATGCTCTACCCACTGGGCATCAGGGCATGAAATTTAGCCTAAGACTTTGCCTTTGAGCTCGGAGCCCAGCCTGTTGGGCTGATATCTGGCCTTAGGCAGAAACCAAAAGTGTGTCTACCTATCCCAGAGCTCACAGACAGAGCCTCTAGACCTGCCAGACATCAGACAGCAACCTCCACGCTGGTGAAGAAACACAAGTTTGGCCTACATCATTACCAGCCTCAGTGTGGGCCTAGGTCCACCCTTGTCCTCCTGAGACTACGTAAGTCCCTGTGGCTGTGAGGTCCTGATGTGACCCAGTCTAATACCACCCTTCATGGTCAAGGGGCTGTTTCCACCACCTGTCCCCCAAACTTGGGTAACACAGGTCAGTGCTCATACATGGAGCCTCTAGACCTGCTCTGGGACTAGGCAGAGACTTATGTCCCAGGGGGATGGACTGGTGCTTTGGCCTGTGTCCCTGACAGCTGTGCTGTAAGGCTTCAGACTGAGCAGGTCCTTGTGGCTGTGAGATTCAGGTGTGACCCAGGTTGGTGTCAGCCTTGGTGGCCAAATTGCTGCACCTCTACCAGCCTAATTCCTCCTTAGAACAACATGGAGTCATGTCAGGAGCTGTGAATACATTACAGGATTCTTTAAACCATCCCAAGGCAGAGGCGATGCCCTTCTGAGAACTCTCGGTGGAAACTCACCAATGGCGAATGCTCAGTGGCTGGTGACACCCTGTTCAAAGGGGGTTTTGTGCCTCACAGAATTTATTGGTTCAAACAGTCCTGGGATCAAACACCAGCTGCCGGGAGGTAGTAGAGATCTAAGTGCAAGCTGATAAGCTTTTTTTTTTTTTTTACTTTTACTAGGTATTCCAAATTTTCAGGATTTTTTAAAATGAGGTATATATGACAGCAGAATGCATTTTGATTCTGATAAGCTCTTAACTGAGCTGTTCCTGCTCATGACTTTGTTTATCTTGAAGACGCTTTCTCACAGTAAATCCACTGCTGTGTGTATCTACTGACTGCATGACCCATGTGATTCTGCAACCTGTACACTCAGAAAAACGAGAAATTATATCCCATCTGATTCAAATGTATATGTCAAGGTCATTATACTGTCATGTGTAATTAATTAAAACAAATAAAAAATTTTTAAAAAACCTATATAATAAACGTACTGAGCCCGCAATGGGGTCAGTCAAGCCTCATCAGGGCTTGGCTTTCCCACAGGGTCCCACTTTCCTGTATTTGTGGGTTTGTTTGTTTTTATTTCTAATTTTTTCACCTGTCCTCCTTTGGGAAACTGAGGAAACGTTGCTCAGGGGGTGACAGACTACGACACCATTCAGTGAGGTTAGGACCAGGTAACAAGTTCCAAATTTGCCTTGGAACTCAGTGATGGGCTCGAGAAACCGGCAGGTCCTAATGGCTGCCAAGCCCAGATCAGCACCTGCAAATGGCACCTCTGGAACAGCCCTGTTAGAGGGCAGAAATAGTGTCTCTCACAACTATATTCCACTTAGCATCCCCTGTGGCTGGCTGTGGCAGTCTTGGGCCCCAAGAACACAAGGAAACCTATATCAGTATGGGTCTTCTTCCTTCCCAGCGCTGCATGGTCTCTGTGGGCTGTGATCTCAGGGTAGGACACAGTTCAGGGGCACTGGTGGCCAGAGGCATGGCATAGCAGCCTGGGGCTGGCCCTTCCATGGTGCTTTTGCCCAGGGCTGTGAAGTACCTGACCACAGGCTGGTGATTGTGAATGAGATGTCTGGGCCTATCTCAGCCCCAGAGAGACTCGTGGGGATAGTCTGCCCTTTTTAGCTACTGCTCTACTTCATGCTGGTCAATACAGTAACTGTTGATTTGGAATAAACATGGAATTAGATCACTATCTAGTACTGAAACAGTTATATAGCACATTAATAGCTGATTCCTGGCAAGCCTCGATGCAATAAAGTGTTAAAATAGTGGAAGGGACTATAGGCTCAAAGAAAACAAGCAATTAGAATTTCTATAAAGACAGGCACAAACAAAGCCAGGTTGGGAAGACCGGAACACCTATTCCTTCAATGTTTAGACAACATCACATACCAACAAGCATCAGAAACCTTTTCAGTAAACTATGACCTCACTCAATATTCAAAATAAACTGGAATACACTGACCAGAATGTAACCAGTATGGGCAAACTTTAGTATGGAAAATTTAAAACAGCTATTTTAAGGAAACTCAATCAGCTTCAAGAGAGCTCAGAGAAATAATTGGATAATATTACATAGAAACTTAACAGAAAGATGGAAGTAATTTTAAAAACCAAACAAATCCTTGAGCTGAAAAATACTCTAAACCCAATAAAAAAACACAACAGAAGGCATCAGTAACTGAATAGACCAAACACAAGAAAGAAACAGTAAGCTCAAAGACAAGCTATTTGAAAATATAGAGTTGGAAGACAAGGAAAAAAGAATGAGGAGAAATGAAGAAAGCTTATAGAGACTTTAAGAAAGTTAATATTTGGGTTATTGGGCTTCAAAGGGAACTTGAGAATGCCACTGAAGTAGGAAAGATTCAAAGAAATCATCGGAGGCAAGAGAAGAAAACAAATACCTAGGAACCAGAAGATCAAAGATGGCCTGTCAAATTTAACTCAACCAAGTCCATAGCAACACATACAGTAATCAAGCTAACAAAGTCTAAAGGCAAAGGAGCCAGGGCAGCAAGAGAAAAGAAACACATAAAAATAAGAGTCTCCCTAATTTACCTGTAAACAGAGACCTTATAGACCAGGAGAGTGGCAAGAGACTTTCACAGCACAGAAGGACAAATTATCAACGGATAATACTGCACCCAGCCAAGACATCCTTTAGAAATTAAGAAGAAACAAAGGTACTCCCTAACAAAAACTGAGAAAATAGATTTTCACCAGACTTCCCCTATAAGAAAAGATAAAGGGGGCTCTCCAATTAGAGAGAGAGAGAGAGAGAGAGAGAGAGAGAGAGAGAGAGAGAGACTCATGAATAAGAAGAAAATGGAGCAAGGTGTCTGGAGCTGTCCATGGGTCATGTTGCACATGGGTCAACACACATGGAAGCCTAGTGGATAGAAACATCTGATGTCTAGGGATGACCAGTGGATATTTTCTCTGGTCAATTGCCCAGGAACAGTGTGAATTTCTGTCCCACTCTGCCATGGCCCACAAAGCACCTGAGATGGGTGTGACCTGCCAAGATGTCAATCAACCTGCTGACTGCAAGACTCCGCCCTTGAAACCTTTTCCCTGCTTTTGATGTATCCCCTTAAATAAATCACCAGAGCCATCTTGTCTTTGTCTAGTTCTAGCACCCATGTGGACTAGATCTATCAGGGGTTTTGCTTTTGTAAATATATTTCTGAATATTTGTGTTTTGTTATTTATTAATTATTCAAGACTTTAAGTTTTAGGGTGGCTTACATCCTCTTGGGCAAGAAGAACCCCCCCCCCCCCAAAGAGATGCTGGCCATCACTCTCCTTAGCAAGGTATAAAAGTCACTGGTAAGAGTAATTATACGATGTTCTAATATTACAAACATGGTGTATAAGCCATTCATATGTAGTCTGAAGAACAAAAAGAAAATTAAAAATAACAACTGCATTATTTTTAAGAGATAAGGAAAATAGATAAAAAATACCAAAATATCAAAATGTGTGGAGAAATGGAATGTCTTTGCTGACTTTTTAATTAGTATATTTTCTCTCTTAAATTTTTCTTATCTTTATGATCATGTAATACTGCTATCATTTTAAAAGTTTGTCCTAATCAAAAGATGTTTTTGTAACTCTCATGAAAACCACACAGCAAAGATCTATAATAAACACAAAATAATACACAAGTAATCAAAACACACTAGTAGAGTAAACCACAAAAGCAGACCATAAGAGAATGAGAAAGAAATAAAAGGGGCTAAAAAAAAAATCCCCGGAAAACAAGGTAGAAAATGCATACATTAAGAACTTATCTGCCAATAATTTCCTTAAATGAATTAAATTCTTCAATTAGAAGATATGAAATGACTGAATGGATAAAAAATGAAGACCTAACCATATCTTGCTCACAAGAAACCTCGGAGGAGAGGCCTGACCCACACGAGTGCTGCCCACCACCCAAGAGGAATATCACACCACATGCTGCCCGAGAGGAACAGACACTGTGGTTCCCTACTCACCAATGTCTGGCTCCACCTAAGCCGCCTCCATTTTGGGACAT